ACCCAATATTAGATGAGATCCGTTCCATCGGACGCGACATGACTTGCAGTGGAGGGTCCGGTTCCAGCCTATGGTCACCACAATATACAACACAACACATTATAATTATCATCGGGCTATTAATCTCTAGATATGATTATTATGATTATGATAATAGGCATGCATTGCGTTCACAATTTGCCCGACAATTGCTATAATTAGTCGCTATTTTTAGTTTTGGTTTTAATTTTGTTTTTTTCGTTGGATTTTGTTTTGCCTGCAATTTACACGATAGTGTAAACTCTATCACACAATCACTGTTTATAGTCTGGCTATTAATATGTAATTTATTGATATATTATTGTAATTTTATAATCGGATATAAAAAACAATAATCTGAATCCTATTTCCATACATATAATATTCTGGCGACTAATTAGTAAACAAATACACGTAAACTGAGGGACAAATTGCAGTGTAATTAATGAGTTGTTTTCACTCAATCGCATGAATCGTTCAAAAGTTAACTGCAATTAAATTAATACCCAATATTAGATGAGATCCGTTCCATCGGACGCGACATGACTTGCAGTGGAGGGTCCGGTTCCAGCCTATGGTCACCACAATATACAACACAACACATTATAATTATCATCGGGCTATTAATCTCCAGATATGATTATTATGATTATGATAATAGGCATGCATTGCGTTCACAATTTGCCCGACAATTGCTATAATTAGTCGCTATTTTTAGTTTTGGTTTTAATTTTGTTGTTTTTTCGTTGGATTTTGTTTTGCCTGCAATTTACACGATAGTGTAAACTCTATCACACAATCACTGTGTTTATAGTCTGGCTATTAATATGTAATTTATTGATATATTATTGTAATTTTATAATCGGATATAAAAAACAATAATCTGAATCCTATTTCCATACATATGAATATATATAATATTCTGGCGACTAATTAGTAAACAAATACACGTAAACTGAGGGACAAATTGCAGTGTAATTAATGAGTTGTTTTCACTCAATCGCATGAATCGTTCAAAAGTTAACTGCAATTAAATTAAATAAAACAAAAATCTGTTGTATTTTGAACCCAATGCTAGGAATTGGAGTCAATAATCATCACAAACAATAACACTAATCATATATTCAAGTAATAAATACATTATTTAAATTAACAAACAAAAAACAAAACACTAAAAAAAGAGTTTCAACCAAACAATACACCATAGGATCAGATCATCCGTGCGTTTACAGAGAGAAAGGGATCAATTAAAAGACACATACCTTCGAGACAACCCATACAGACGGCGTTCATGAAGAGCACCCGTCCCTCGATATGCACGGGAACGGCCGCCTTATTGTGCTGTCGGGGCGACAAGAAGAACGTACCGTCGATGAGGGGATAGCGGTCAAAGATGATCATGGTGCCCGAACAGATCACGCACGCCGTGCGATCCATCTTATTGGCCGACAGCGTCGACAGTATGAAACACCGGGTCTCGTCGTTGCCGTGATTGCCGTCGTCCTCCATCTTGATGTGGTATGAGTTGATCTTATGTCGGGGAAGGGTATTGAACGACGAGTAGTCGGCCCGACGCGAGAATATCGATCCCGACGAATGCCTCTCCCGTTTCGACGCGTCCGAGAAGAACAGTTTGCGGAAGTTTGGCGACGCCGACGACTCGCCCGCCGACGACATGGGCGGCGACGTGCCGTCCGACGAACCCCCGGAACCGGTCGACGACATCGAGAACGAGCGCATACGGATCGCAGCGGCGGCCGACTCGCGCGACACCAGCGTTATGGCGGTTGTCGTGCCATTCATATGATTATTATTATTATTATTTAGATTATGGTTATTATTATTATTGCTATTATTGTTGGTTGAATTGTTACTAATAGAGACCAGAGTTGTATTATTATTGTTGTTGTTGTTTTTGGTGTTGCCGTTGTTTGTGACGACAGTACTGCTGATATTGACCGTCGGTTTGTCATTGTTTCGCTTCTTGCGATTGCGGCGCTTCTTGTTCTCCTCGACGGGTGTCGTCACCG